GCAGGGGTTGGGGGACTGCGGGCCAGGGCGGGGGCCGGGGCTGTGGTCTCAGCTTGCTGATTGCCACTGCAGCTGCCCAGGTCACCTCTGGATGCGGCCAGGATGACACAGCTTCCTCGGACTGCAGGCGCAAGGTGACCAGACGTCCTCCAAGCTGGGCAGACAGTCGTGGCTTGCCGGAGGGCAGCCAGCCAGGGCCAGGCGGCAGGGAGGTGTGGGCCGGGCTGGGGGTGCTGCGGGCCATCCCACACACTGTGGGGCCAATTTGGGACAGGGGGCGTTGGGAGCCTTCCTGTTCTAGGACCTTGTCCCCGTGGGGTAAGGCTCTGGTTGTCTCTGGACCAGCTGGGTGCAATTAGTCGACACGTGTTTATCAGGTGCCCACTGATCCCAGCCCGCACCAGCCCCACCCACTCTTGCCCCCCCCCGGGAGGGGTCACTTATAGAAAGGCTCCCAGTGGAGGGAGCTTGTCCTTGGCGGCCCCTGGCTTTGTGGCTTTGCGTCTGTCAGGGAGTCGATGAGGAGGAAAGTTGCTGCTTTGCTACCTGGGCTTTTGAGCCTCTCTCGGAAAGGACTTCCGATGTCCCTTCCGTGTCCTCCTGCCCTGCTCCCTTCCCGTAGCCGACATCCTGGGAGACCTGTGGCGAGCGGGAGAGGAGGGAGTGATTGTGCTTTGTCACACTGGCTGGGTGGCCAGCGGGGACAGAGTCCTTGCAGGACAAGGACAAGCGCGTCGAGAGCCCTCCTGCGCTGGCATCACAGGATGAGGTGGGTGGTTCAGATTAGCCGCTACCTCTAGGAAAGAACGAGAACCCTCTGAAGCGGGCAGAACCTCTCTTGCTCCTGGATAATCCACTCCTGGGCCGTTGAGACGAGGTCATTGCTCCGGTCAGCCACTCAACTTTCTTTGTGGAGAAAAAGTCCCCTCCTGGGCCTGGAAGCCGGGCCCTCTCAGCATGTGCTGGTACGTCGGAAGCATCTGGGCTGCCGCTCCCCCAGTGGGCACGGTCAGAGCAGCAGGTGACCAGCGGGTGTCTGCTGGGCTTCACAAGTGAAAACGACCCCCAGGGCTCTGGGTTTGCTGCAGCTGGGCCACCTCTTTCTGAAAGGGCAGATTCTGGACTGTGACCCAGGGCCATGTGCCCTGCCCTCGGGGGCGCCAGGCACAGAACTTCAGTCCTCTGCCACGTGCCTCCCTGGGCGGAGCAGCCCTGTCCAGGGCTCTCCTGCCAGCTCGGTCGCCATCCTGGAGGAGGAGGACCCGGCTGCCGTCCTCTGAGACTTGATGTGTTTCCTTTTGCTGAGAGGAAATGGCTTTTCCTGTGGGGCCTTGCTTGGCTGCATGTCACAGTGACATCCTGGCTTTGGGCTGGAGCCCTAACGCCTCAGTTAGAAAAGCAGTCACCTGGAAGGCCCTCCTCGTTGCCGGCGCCGCCGGGGAAGTGGCCTGGGCAGCGCATGTGAGGGACAGAGCCTCAAGTATGTTGCCATGAGGTTCAGACCTGCCTCTGGGATCCCAGCTTGTTGCCGTGCTGCTGAACTACTCTGGCGACTTCTCTGGAGTTTAGAGGTGTTCGGGGTGTGATGCCCCATGCGTGGCCTACTGGCACGGTGCACGCTGGTGGGCGGGGCAGGGTGCCCAGTGAGCTCTCACTGGGAGCCACTGAGGAGGCCGACCAGCTGCTGATGCCGTCACGCCTGCACGGGGCGTGGGGGCGCTCCGGGGACCCCAGGCCACTCTCCAGCCTGGTGCGACTCCCAAGCCTGTGTTCCCGGCCCGTCCTGGGAGGGCGTTCTCCCACTTGGGCTGGGGTGGCTGCTGAGGCTGCCTGAGGTTGGATGCTTACCAACCCCTTCCGCAGTTGCACCGGAGTCGGCTGCTGCCGCACACAGGGAGCCCTCCCTTCAGCACAGGCTGGTGCTCTGCTTGCCTTCCGTGTCCGCAGCTTGAAGTCAGCGCCATGTCCTGGACAGAGGTGGGGACCCGCAGCATCCTCTCCATGCCCTGCCTCACAGGAGGAGCCCTCGCCATGGGGCCCATCCCTGCTGCTGCTTTTCGGGGTGGCCACCCGGGCGTGTTGCCGGTGGCGCTCTTGGCAGAGTGGGGTCCCCGTGGCAGAGCAGAGCCTGCCCCAGGCAGGGAGTGTGCTGTGAGTGCAGCACTGTGCCTTGTGCCTTCTGCCTGCACCCTGCCCTCTCAGGCCTGTGGGTCCCTGGTTCGCCTGAGAGCCTTAGGAGGGTGCAGCTTGGGAGAGGATGCAGGCGTGGTCCAGTAGCCCCAGGTGCCTGGGCAGCCTTGACCCCGTCGAAGTGGTCAGCTGACCCTCAGGGGGTCCCCAGGGGCCTAAGCCCTGTCCCATGTGCCTCCTGGTCACATCATGTCCCACTGGCGTGACACAGGAGGCGTCTCTTGTGGAAAGACCCCCGCCCCGAGCTCTGCCCTGCGCCTGGTTGAACTCTGCACGCCACCGTGGGCCCGGCCGGGGTCCCTTCCCTGGGACCCTCCCTCTCCGCTGGGCAGACGGTGGGCCTCT